GCAGTTGAGTCTATTTGAGCTGCAAGTGTCTGGTCATGCTTTAAACATGCAACAAATGGCGGAGTGAAAACTCGTGAACGAAAGTCTGGATTCTTCGCCTACGATTGCAATTTACATTGGAGATGGCGAAATCTTTGGGGTCCCGGCGATCTTCCTGGTGGGGCTGGTCCCTGGACACCGCGACACGCTGCAGGGGGGAGCCGAGGAGGACACAGGCCGTCGCCGGCACTTCCTGACATTTTTTGCCCGCTGCAACTTGCCGATAGATCGTTCTATACACCAGTCGGCAGTCGATAAGTGCTGCGGCTTCATTAAATTGAACATTTTCCATCCTTTCCCACTATTGAACTCCACTTGACGATCTCCATCATAATAGCAACTGGAATGATGAATCATATACGCGAAGTGTGATATGCGTCAACTGACCCAGATCTTTCAGTCTTCATACGACTGCAGCGGCAGCGACTTCCTGATTTTGTATGCAAGTCGAATTTTGTGATGGAAAAAGGTCTAGACTTTTTTGAGCTCCATTCGACATGTGGTAGAAGATATAAATAACTATAAACAGTCTGGTAGTCTCCAATGAGTTTCAACGATGAGAAATAAACCCAAACAAACAAACCAAAAAAGACTGAATGTTTATGGGCCACGGCCCCTCAGTCGGACCTGGTCGGACGCGACGAGCTTCTAATCCGGAGGCACACAGTTTGTTGGAGTCACGCTCCATCATTATCATCAACTTTTACAAATCGAATGTCGAGTCATACATCTTCAGCGTTCCTTATTTGCCTTCCAAATCGGCCGAAGATCCAGGCAATGTACGTGCTCCCTCCACTCATGCAATCATGTGTTTATGTATGCGATAGGCCACGACGCGTCCTGGCGGGCCAAGACAGGCCACGGTACAAACGATCACCAAACCAAGGAAAGAAGATTCGTTTTGGTTTGTATTGTTTTTGAAACGGTTGACACTGTAGGGTTGTTTGTCAACCTGAAGTTAATGATGTTGATCGCACCTCTCGAACCGATAAAAGGAGTCTAGGATGACGCAATCCACACAGATTCCTGCACGTGACTTTTGTGAACAGTCTTATTTTCTAAGGAAATTCACAATCATAAACAAACACGCTTCGGGTCGGACTTGGCCCGATTCTGTACCGGATTGCAGTGTGTATTTTTTGCGGGCTGATGGAACTGAGGCCAACGTCATCTTTTTTTTTTTCTTTCTGTTAATCCATCTCTCTTCTTTTCTCGACATTCGCGCCGAAGTTGCTCTTATCGGGGGCATGGTGTATGTAAGTTATGCATGAGATACATGACCTGAGATGACTCAGATCATCAGTATCGCGATGTGCAGACGTGTGCAGGTTTCCTCCTCTGTTTTTCTGCATCCCGATTCCCCATGCATGCAGCTGTGCATGCACATCCATTTCCATAAATCTGACTCCGAAAGAACACAAATCGAGCACACTCACGCTTAACAAGACGTAACAAAGTCCCAAGTGCGAGGGGCTTTGTTAGGGTAATACTAAGAGCAACTCCACCGCGGCCCGTATTTTTGGGCCGCTAAATTATGATCGTTGGGACTGCGAAGCCAACTTTACAGCCTTAAAGTGCTGCGGCATACACCGCAAGAGTCTTTAAGGATTTGTGAAAGGATGAGTGGTGTGTGAAGTTGGAACGGATTTGTATTGAGGCAGTAGAGTTTCACAAGCTGGTTGTTGTGTGAAAGGGGATTGGGCAGTTGATAGAGGAGTCTCTAGGAGTCCCTACATGTAGGGACTCGGGCTTGAAATTTAGGGACGGCCGTAGATTTGAGACACAAATAGCGGCCGCGGTGGCTCACGTTGAGTCGGTAAATTCCAACTAGCGACCCGATTTACCGACCGCGGTGGAGTTGCTCTAACAAGTTGAGAATTTTGTCAAGAATGCGAACTTGATCTAGTTGGTCCTGCGGAACCTCGGGTCTTGATGTCCCGGGTGCCCCTCTGAATCCGTGCCGTATAACATTTTCCTTTGGGCCGAAAAGATCTAATCACTTCCCGTATGATGATGCTGACAGCTGTGAAGAATACTGTTTATGCTGCTAGAAACGAGAGAAATTGATCCTAGTGGACTCCACGCTTTGCGAACGGAGCTCAGTTCACTTTAGGAGTGGGTTCTCAAGATTTTCAACAGACAGCGGCGCTCGGGGGTACCAGGCTCTATGCCACTCGGCACCCACTGGTGGCCGGCCGGAACAGTGTCCATTGGCCCGGAACTCGGGCCCAAGTTGTCTTATGTAGTGCAGATCAAGTAGATCTTCAAAACTCTTCATCTAACATGTATCCCGTCGCGCTTATAAACATCAAAACATGGGAACATGTAGATTTAATAACAATCTTTATCAACCGTGCACAGTTGATCACTCTATTCTCCAAGTTTTCTACTCTGCCGACCTCACTGGATTCTACGTTTTTATTACAAAAACGAGCTCCCGCAGAAGTCTGCGTGATTGTGACTCTGCTGCAATGCTCTCTCAATTTCCACTCGTGAAACTTGGAAAGTCTTTGTCGAAGGTGAGACATAGATAAGCATACAAGGCTGTTGAACACCACGCTGATATTGTAGAACAGGCTTGTTTTCTTGTCCTTATCGCTCTCTATCATCCTCCCGAACTGTATTCAATAGATTCTACGATTCCTTTGTGTAAGAACCCTTTAAGATTGATTTAACAACGTCCCCATTCAAAAAAAGACCGAAGCTATGATTGATTGGGGTCATGAACTCTTGACAAGCATTCAAGATCTCGATTCTCACTGCCCTAAGCCCAAAAGAAGATATTTAGGCGACCGGGGCACGATGCTTCATCTGCTGTCTTCGGTGCACAATGATCGATGAGCTCCATGACTACAATCTCGGTGCACATTGAAGCTCGTCTCCGGTTGTGGTCAGGCGGTGCAGTTGAGTGCTTGGACTCAAGTTACTAGTTAGGCATCACAAGCTGTTTGGATATTTCCATATATAAATATTTGGAGGGGCTCTCAAGTCTGGGTGCCGTTGGGGCATCCATCTCCCTCGAGATCTCAATCTCGATCTTCAACCCGTCGATCAGCGTAGCCGATGATTATGAAATCCAGATCCCACAATTTTTTTTTTGTTAAGGAAATCTCATCGATCATCCGGCATCCCACTGGGCAACTCCGGCCTGCTACAACATGCTCCGGCGCTCCCCAACTTCAGTCCGCCCGGGCTCTCCTGGTGGGGAAGAGGCGATAAGAGTCAGGTCTCTAACACGACTACGAAGTCTGCTGTGTTCTCATGCAGTACGCGGTTGTCCTATGATATCCGCTGTACAAGTTGTGTCGCAGAAAGCTTTGAGACATTTCTACCCCGGCCTCCGGATCCGGTTCCGTTCCATCCTGTCCCGGTATGGAAGTGTGTAAGTAACAGTACACCCAAGATATTCTTCTTCCCTTCCGAATCACAGGCTCGCAAGAAAGGAAATGTCCAGAAGAATAGTTGCACATATTGATAAAACATCCATTCTAACACCATTCCCAGAGCTTAAAAGTTCATCCGCCTCTTGGGTTACACTGATCTGGTTTTCCTATTCAACAAAATCCATCACATCCGATCATCATCATCACTCCAAACTCGAACCAACTCAATTCATGAACGGTTAATAAAATTGGGCTAGCAAGCCACTCGAGTCTTTTGAACTACAACCCTAGCCGTGATACCCGAGTCGACTTTCTCCTCCACTTTTTTTGTATATAAATAAATAAATACAACATTCCTTCTTCTTCCCTGCCTCGATCGTCGAATTGGTTGTTCTATACGTATGTATTTGTTTTGTATGTATGTATTCATTTACATACTGGTGTATTCCTCCAACTGAAGAAGAAGGAGAAGGAGAAGAAGAAGAAGAAAAAAAAACGATTGTCTTCCTCCGTTCTGTCAGTGTCAGTGCTTCAGCCTCTCCCTCCTGCCCGCTTCCGCCGTCGGTTGTTTGAAGTTTTTCCTTTCTGGCCATGAGCTTGAAGTTTTATTATCGGGATTTAAGATGGAGACATCAACAATAAATCCATAGACAAACCCGACCCACACACTATGTAGGACATACCAAGTCTTCTAAATCAAGCTTAAGCGTACCGTGACTATCACCCAACTATCCCAACCACCGTCACCCCCATCCCGGGTTTCCAGACTTGATTAGAGCCGCTGATGATGCTGATGATGATGGTGCTGATGATGTGCCAACACTAACAGTTGTACCATCAGCTAGAAACTATCTGATGCAAATCTGACAAGCAAACTATGGATAAAGAGTCTAAAAACCCGATTGACCCGATCACTTCTTAACTCAGAAATTATTCAAACACATACGCAACTAGATAAGTACATATTTAACAGGCTCTAAACCGATACATAGTATTGGATTGTCTTGGATTATTGTCGGCCTCTTTCTTTTAGCGCAATACTTTAAAGAACTTCAAAATCACAATATCTCTCTCCCAGTACAATTCATCCGAGAGCACTTTGGGCTTGAGTGGTGTGAGATTGTAAGGATAGACTCTAAGATCCTAATTAAAGTCCACCCAACTCTGTCGGTTGACCTTGTTTTCTGTCAAACATTACAGTCTAATAATTGAGGAAGATATGGACGAAGGAAATTTAAAATAACAGACTTCATATCCAAAAGATTCAGCATCAAATCACCATTCTCATCGAGAAGTTCTTGTCTTCTTTAAAACCCGACTTGGGGTGTATCCCTCTGTCTCCCTGGACTCTTCTGAGGTTATTATTATATTTTGTAGTAGGTTAGTCACGGCTCTGATCAGCTTCTATCTCTTCAATTGAAATCTGGCGTAGATTTTGGTCATCAGCTTCCCTCTGTTGTTGTAATAGGACTATAGACTCTTCTTGAGTAGACCAGGACCAGGTCAGTTTCTCCCCCTAAGGTTTCTTCTTGAGCCGGGCGAGCCTACTAAACTGGTTGATTCGCTTCCCCATCCTTCCCCATCCTCCTTCTCCTCCTCCTTCTCCTCCTCCTGTTCTCCCCCGTATGGCCGTTTAGTCTCATCGACCCAGCTCCGGTCCCCACTACCCCCAGCCCCTCCCCAGTCACCTCACATCTCAAGACATCAAGAAGAAAGTCTCGGCCAGAAGACTCAGACACAAGTCCTTGGCTCAACCTCTTTCAGGCGTATCCGAGACTCCCAACGGAGAAGGAAATCTCGAGAAACCTGATCTGATTCAGATCTCTGCCCCTTCTCACGGATTCCGCTCGATTCTTCCTCATCTGACTCTTCCCTATTTTCCTTTCATTTGACTTTTTTAAAGATATAAATAAATAATTCTCATACACCAATCACAGTTGTAAACTTTACACTGTTTTCTATCCTCCACTCACTCTATTGTTGTCCCTCTCTCTCTCTCCCTCTCTCTCTCTTCATAGTCGAGATTATTTCTGCCTTTTTTCCCTTGCTAGCTTCCTTTTTTTTGTATTGAGAACTGTCTTTTTTTTTTTTTCTTTCCTCCTCCAAACTCCCACCCCTTCTCTCTCTCTGTCTCTTTCTCCCTCCTTTTCTCCCTCCCTTCCCTCTGGAGTGAATCCCCCTTGTTTTGTGCCATGATCCTCATCTCACCCACTCGGACCCTGCCCTCTCCCCGTCCGATCGATACCGATCCGATACTAAACTACCGTCACATCCAACCAGCCGCCGCTGCTGCCGCTGTCGGCCCCTGGCTTGGCCAGAATCAGCACCACCACCACCACCACGACACACTTGCAAAATCCCCTAATATAACAACAGCACCAGCAACCCACTCGCCGTCTGAGCTCTCCGCATCCCCTGCTCCCTCTGCTGTATCTACCGGGTCTTCTTTACTTGATCCTCAATCTGTCCCTCACATTAAGATACCCCACTCAAGCTCACCCCCGGCCATCATGTTGCCCCAGCCCAGCTCTGATGATGACTCGAGTACTGCAGAAGAAGAGCAGCCGTCCGCCCAATCTTCTAATGCGACCCTCAACACCCCCACTCCCCACACCAACGCCCCTCATCAGCTCGACTCACACGCTTCCTCTGTTGGCCTCTACGACCTGCCTCCTACCTCGTCTTCAGCACCGACGACCTCCTCCTCTTCATCCCCATTCCCTTCGAATGTGCCGTCTCATCAGCAGCCTTCCCCCTACTCTTCGTCCCCACATCCCAATCAGGAACATCATCCTCATCATCCTCACCATGGGAATCAGTTCTATCAGCAATCTCCGCCAGCTCTTCATTCCCCCTTGCAATCAGCCCACCACCCTCAGCAGTCCTTCGACGCCCGCCCTCACTCGAGCTTGTTTGCTCATCAGCATTACCATTCAAGGCCTCAATCAGCCCCTCATTCCACCTCACAATTCTCCCTCGATCCTCACGTCCTGGCTGCCGCTGCCGCCAACGTCGAGGTTAAAAAATGGGATGAGGAAAATACTTATTACTACCAGGTCGCCCACAAAGGTGTGACGGTTGGCAGACTTAAGGGTAAGCAGATTGCCAAGTACCGATCGTCTTTAATTTTCTGTCTTTTTTCTATTGCCATCCAACTTCACAACAATCCTCGAGGCTCTTGTGCGCTCGGATTGTTTTGAAAAAAAATTCATAGTTCCCAGGGTCTTAGGCCGCTCATCACACTATCACATACAGTCGATCCCCCTCAGTATTTTATCAATTGTTATTTTCAAAGTGGCTTTCCCTCCCCCAGCTTCCCTTGACTCTCCGCAGTTCATACTGCCTTGCATTGAAACTACAAAAAAACACGTTCAATTGAACCAGCCACCGCGCTTATGTTGGACTTACTGACTCAGATCTGTATCTTCCATTCTTTGCATCGTTCAAATTATCCATCACAGGTTCAGGATTAGTGAATGGCACTAAGCTTCTCAACCTTGCTGGTATAAGCCGTGGGAAGCGAGACGGGATACTGAAGAATGAGAAAATACGTAAGGTGGTTAAGCATGGTACAATGCATTTGAAGGGTGTCTGGTTAGGCATTTCATATCTCTCAACTTCATTGCCGATCCACTTACGATCCGAGTATTAACAGTTTTTTTTTTGCAACGGCCCGACATGTTTCCTTACTCGCAGGATCGCATTCGACAGGGCAGTCTTCCTTGCCGAGCAGCATAGCATCGCCGACAAGATTTTTCCCCTTTTGGTTGTCAATCTCGAGCACTATGTGCCGATCGAACCGCCTCTCATGGCCGGCGGGACCAAGCTCGGACCCGGCTCACTGTTCCATCACCATCATCCCCGCCATCCCCGTCTGCTACCTCAACCGATCAAGTTTCCTCCTTCGACAATCAGCCTTGCACCGGCCAGCGCGAATAGTTTCTCATCAACCGGCGGGTGGCCCAGCGGGCCTTCTTCTGCCTTGCCATCAATAGGTTACAATGAGCCGTTTTCTGCCCCGCCGATCCCTCGCAGCGCCGCAACCGCCGACACTTCCCCCTCAATTTATGAACAAGCTCAGTTCCAGTACCTCAACTCTGCGCAAGCAAATAATCCAGTAAGTACTCGAGCTCGTTAATGGGTCTGTTGGCTGTGAAAAGCACACAGCTGTTAACTCTGTTTCTCGGGCGCAATCATAGGACTTGCTGGAGAGGCGACATACTCTTCCCAACAACAGTTTTCACGGATATAACTCTGTGCCTTCGTTTGGATCGTCGCAGCCTCCGCCTCCAGTGTCGTATTCATTCCACTACAACTCCACCCATGTGCCCGGGTATCCACCACGCTCATCGACCGCGGAGTCGGCCACGCCTAACCAGTTTGAATACCAATCCAAAAATCATAATGGCAATGGCAACGGCGATGCCGCAGGCTCTTACCCCGCGACTCTCTACCATTCTCAGCCCGCAGCACGTCCGGTATCCTCGACTACCGCTCAACCATCTCCAGCTCTCAACTCTGCCCCGCTCCTTCTCGGTGATCTCTCGCCCGGTTCCTCTACCCAGATTGTGGACCATGGCGCTGGTGACTTCCGCTTATCAACTGGAACCTCTAATGGCCAGGTCAAACAAGAGGGCGATGATGAAAGCTGCAATGAGAAGCGACTTATCATGGAATGGAACCCGTCTTGCTAAGAGTCGGGGATCATCACATTATTACAATTGACAAGGCCTGAGCATTTTATTAAGATTTCAACCTGTCTTGAGACACAGTTACTTGTTTTTTTTTTATATTTCTTCTAGTAATTCTATTGATTTTTGTTTTATTTCATGATGATTGTCTGACCACTTTTTCTTTTGCTATCATCTTGTCACCACTTTCTACTACTCTTGACCTTTGGCCTGATCTTTCTTGATTTTTCCATTTTCCCCAAGTCTCCACAACAGCCCCAACTTGATCTGAACTGACTCTTTCCTTTCAGGTTTCTAAAATGAGTGTCTGTAAACTGTAGCTTCCAGGCTTCAATACTAATGGATAAGATCAAAGGACCATCTCTCATCCTTTTGTCAACCAACTCTGTCATCATCAACTTGTCTACATTCAGGGAGATTCTAGTCCAATCAGACCCTGCCCTGATTGTGTAGAGGCATGAAGTTTTCTTGAAGATTGGCTCAGATTCAGGAACCTGTAGATTTATGGAACTGTCACTAAATATGATTTCCATAATTTAGAAATTTGTAAAATTCAGGCATCTGTGTTGGTTTCCCAGCTAGGGCATATAACAAATGTGTGACAGGACTTGGAAATATTGGCACAGCTCTCCAACATGTTTCAGGCCTGTGAAAATGTGAGAGTAGGTTTACACAACCCAGTATTGTGAGCTTTACGATATGGCATCAGACCACAGTTTGTCCAAATGCAGCAATTTATTGCAAGAGAATGCCTTTGATTGTGAGCCCTGGAGTACCATTCTTGTGCCATGGCAGGAGGAGACCATTGAAGAGAAATGCAAATAATTCCTGAGGATAAACAAAATCTGGATGAAATTGATTTCAGACTCAAGGATCAGGATGAAGGTGGGTTGGGTCGACCCGCAAGTGACTTGTGACCCATCAAGTCTTGGGGCGGGTTCGGGTTGACTTTATCTAAAAAAATAAAAATTATGTGACCTGCTTGATTACTGAGTCGGGTTTGGGCAGTGTGTTTTGATTTCGGGCTGGCCCAAAAACCCAACTACCAACCCGATTAAGTGCAATCAGGTCCGTGGGTTGGCTTCAGAAGCCAACAAACTTTGGCCTTCAGGATCCTTGCCGCTCGGAGTTGTTTGATTGGTCATCAATATGACTGCCACCATGCTATGACCTACAACAACAAGGGCTTCAGGGGCAACAGTGATCAAAATTAATTTCAATATTCACCAACTTGAAAACTTTGAAGGATGCTTTGATTGCATCTTTGTACACCATCCCATCCATTCATGTTGAGACTTCAGGATTTTACGACTAGAGATGGCCTCTTGCACACAGGTACTCACAGTGGGTGCAAGTACTTGCCCAAAATTTCACAAATTTAGGTTGAGGAGATTGGTCAAGGTGTTTGCTGATCACATTTTGGAAGCAGTGCTCAGCCCAGAAAGAACACCTGTTGGAGGCTAGTTTGGCAGGAATAAGATTCAAATTGAGATGAGGATGATTGGACAGTTGGCGGGTGATGGTGATCCTGGGGGCTTGTGACACTTCCTGGTGCCATCTGCACCCGGAGCCGCAGCCGCTGGCAGGTATCCCCCCGCCTTAGTGGGTATCTACGGATACCCGCCCCTTAAATGTTAAAAATTCAGCAATAATTTTGAGACATAATGATTGCAGTAATTATTTGATAAATACTCTGCGGTGATTTTTTTTTTTCACCTTGTATTCTGGTCTTCATCCTCATTATCTTGATGTTGACCTTGGCCCAAGGATGGCCATCAAGGAAATCTGAGTCCTGCTCTTGAACTTTGGTCCAGAAATCTTTCATGAAATTCAAAAGATTATCAAGTGTCTCTGTAGGACCCCGGTGAGCCCTTGGTAGACACACCGATGTAAATCTGGACAAAATAGAGTTTCTGCTACATGGTTATTTTGGGGTTTTTCCCATTGATGCCTGTTTGGATACCTTCTACATAAGTATGTATGGATGAAAAAAAGGGAATCTCAAGTTTTGGATACATAGGACATAAGGAACATTGGATGGTCTTTATTTCTTGAATTTGACCCCCCATGCTCCAGCCAAGATGGCACTTCAGAATAAAGTCATTACCACTAGGTTTGATTTGGCACTTGTTGCAAGGCACTCCAGGGTTTGTGAGCGGGCATAGTTTCCGTATTGTTGCAATTTTTTATTCCATTTTTGAGGTTGTTCAAGTTAACAAACAATATCAAGTCTCAAGGGGGGGAACTGGGAGGAAAGCCAGGCGGGCAAGGGGCAACGCTTCCACAGATACAATACACTGTGTGTATCATGGAGAATTCTGCAAAGATGCAAGGCCAAAAACCAAATTTGTTGAATCTCCTTGCAAATAAAAGCAGATTGGTCAGATAGTTTTTTTTATTGGGGCTCAGATACATAGTGATACATGGCAGATACGGGCAGATACCGTATCTGTGGCAGCGTTGCAAGGGGTAAGATTTGAAGCAAAAGTCTCAAAAGTCACCTGGCGTTATAGCTCTTCTCAGTTCTGACCTCATCCAAATCTGATCATTGGCTACCATCAGTTTGAACTCACTACAAGTACATAAGTATGTATTTTCCAAAAAAAACTGAGAAGTAAAAAAAGATTCCAAACACATAAGTATGTGTTTTGAACCAAAAATCTATAAACTGGATTTTTGCTACATTATTTGCCATATTTCATCAGTATGATTTTTGAAAAAAAATCATTTTGCTACATGTTTCATGTGTGTGTCTAACAGGGGTTCACCGGGGTCCTGTCTCTGTGCAAAGAAACCCAGGCTTGTGTTCATTGAATAGTGTAAGATAGGTTATAATTAAGAACAACACCATTTTTGATATGATTTCAATGTACCAAACAATCTTGTTAATACTATTCATCCTCCGTGGTGTTAGATTTACTGATGGGATCAAAAGTATTTTTTCTCTCATTGGCTTGATGATTTGGTCTTTCAAGATGGGTTTTTTACAAAATTTACTAAGAGCTAATCTCTTTTCTGCTAGACTAAAGAAAAATTGGCCAACGGCTTCTCTCCTAATGTTGTCATTGTAATTGGTGGGAAAAATACCCTTGAGCCTTCAAAAAATTTCCAGGAAAGTCTCTGACTGTGATCTCGGAATTCAAAAAACCTCCTCCCGGCTCGACAGAGTTTTGCAGCAATTCAATTGTTCAAAAAGCCATTCAGCTTGATACTCATTGCCCAATTGAAATTTGGCTTGTGGCTTCCTCTTCTTCATTGAGATTTGAAGTTTGCTGGCCCATAACCAATGCTTTTTCTTCTACTTGCTTAGATTTTGGAGAGATCCCGTCCGGAACCTTCTGGTTGACAAGGCACATGAACCTTGTTGGCCGGAAGGAAGACCTTCTTGTTGACAAGGTTGTGCCTTGTCAGACTCAAGACGGTACAGTCTCCAAGACGAGAGGAACCCCTCTTGGCCTTGAGACTGTACAAGGTCTCAAGGCCAAGAGGGTCCATCTGACAGGTATCCCTTATTGACATGTCACAGATACGGATACTCATTATCTGAATCACTGCGCACGACATGGGAAACGGCAGTTGCGCAATGATGATAGACAAGGTTGAAACCTAATGTAGACGGGACTATTTCAACTTCATTTCTTTCAGTTGTATTTCTCTTCTTCATTCAAGTTTCATACTTCTACTTGTCTCATTGCTCAACTCGCCTCCATTTCTCTCATCTCGTCGTGGACGTTCAGGTCTGCTTGTCTTTCTGCTCACTCGTGTCGGTGGTCACGTTCTGACACCTCGTCGGTTCTCATAAAGGTCTGCTTGTCTTTCTGCTCACTCGTGTCGGTGGTCACGTTCTGACACCTCGTCGGTTCTCATAAAGAACTCGCACCTTTCTCGTCCATTAGGTTATGAGCCTGCGCTCTCATTGATTAAAAACACACAAATCAACTCGCTCGCTATACTATGACGGATCAGAAATCCACACACATGCCATCTCTGGCAAACACGACCTTCAGTTCGTGGGAAAGATCGATCGGAGGCTACTGCATGCAGCATGGTCTTTACGAGTATCTTACCACTACTACAGAACCTACCGATGCTGCAGAACTAAAAATTTACAACAGCAACCGACTCAAAACCGCCGGTATTCTCACTCAGCACATGGGCGACAATAATTTCAACCGGTTGAAAGCAGCCCAGCCACCCCTTGATAAGCGAGACCCTGCGGTGATCTGGAAATTCTTGACCGACTACTATCAATCAACGGCGGTGGAAAACAAGTCAAAAGTTTATCAGGACTATCATGTGTTCACTTTTCGGAAAGATCTAGCCACCTTCCTTCACGACCTGGACACTCATCTCGGGAACCTGTCATCTGTCGGTTTCATCATTGGCGATCCCATTGGTGCCGATATTCGTGAATCGGTTTTTGCGGAGGGTCTGGTCAGTAAGCTTCCGGCTATCTTCGACTCCACCAAAGAACTCCTCTATACGAAGAGGCCGCTCAGCATCAAAATCATTCGGGATGCTCTTGAGAACAAACATCGCGACACGGCACCCTCCACATCCTCCACTTCTACGGCCGTCAACATCAAAACTGAGGACACAGCTTTGTCTGCCGAGAAGCCAGCAGGTCGGAAATGGACACGCTGCAAACCCGGTTTTCACTCGCCGGGAGCAAGCCATGAAGCGAAGGACTGTCGGATGCTCAAGAAGAAGAAGGAAGCCAAGAAAGCTGTGACACCAGCATCTGACAGCGAAGACGACCGGTCGTCATTGAAAACAGCCGATGGACTTCGCTGCACGGCTCGTCTTTCTACATTCACTGGCGACTACGAGCTCAGCTATCTAGACAGTGGCGCTTCGCACCACATGTTTTCCAATCGGAACAACTTTCTGGACTATCGATCGCGCAACTCTCATGTTGAGATAGCCGATGGAAATAATCTTGAAGTGGTTGGTGAAGGATTCGTCCCGATTCAGGCGATCAACGGGGAGACCATCAATTTAAAGGCTCTCCATGTCCCGAAGCTCAACGGTACTCTGATCAGTCTTGGTCGACTTCTCGAACATCACTGTATCATCGAGAACTGCACCACCAAAGGTTTCGCAGTCACCCGAAACGGCAAACTCGTATTTCAAGCTTCTCTGGTCAATTCAACTCCACGAGTTAGAATCAAGATAAACAACATCGGTCAGTCAATTTCTTCAGCGCCTTCAGCAATGAAAGTATCGGTGACTGACGTACTCAGTCTCCACAACAGATCAGGACACCCCAGCCGAGAGGCTTTAGGCAAGATGCACGACATGTCGATCCCGAAGTTCAACTGTGATCACTGTTCAATGACAAAGTCTCATCGAATCCCGTTTCCCTCTCAGCTACCGTCGGCATCTCGACCTCTCCAATACATCTACATGGATCTCAGCGGAAGGATTAATCCGAAGTCATATGGGGGGGGAGAATACTATTTCAAAATCACCGATTACTTCACTAGATATCGTCATGTATATATCCTATCAAAGAAATCAGAAACGTTTTCATTTTTTCTCCAATATTATGCCGAAGTAACCAATCATCACTCTGCACAAATACACACTGTCATCTTCGATGGTGGAGGAGAATTCAACTCAAACGAATTCCTATCATTTCTCAAGGAGAAGGGTATCCAGGTGCAAGTCACGGCTCCTTATACACCCCAGCAAAACTCAGTCGCTGAGAGGGGTAACCGGACCACATCTGAAAAGGCTCGGGCGATGCTGAAGCAATCCAATCTTCCCACCAAGTACTGGGCTGAGGCAGTCAACACTGCGGTCTTCTTGGAAAACATCACGCCAACGAAGACGTTGAATTGGTCTACGCCATATGAACTATGGTTTGGCCATCAGTTCGATACTCGGAGACTCCGGCCGTTCGGCTGTCTTGCGTATTTCAACATTCCTGGGGACATTCGAGTGGGAAAATTCAGTGACACTGCTAAACGAGGGATTATGATGGGATATCAGCTGGGGATGCACAACTGGCGCATCCTGACAGCAGGAGGAAAGGTTGAGCGCAGTCACGACGTTCAATTCGACGAGACTACATTTCCAGGAGTCTCCCTCTTCTCCTCAGCTGACACATCAGGACTTATCGATCCATCTCTTCCTGACGACTTTGAAGAATCGTTTGATGCTCCAGTCAATTCAACACTCACTCAGACGCCAGATCAACACCATAGTTCCAACTCGGAAACAGGCGACGAGTACTTCACGGGTGATTCAGTGATGGACGGAGACTACCCCGATGTACAATTGCTTCCATCAAATCAAGATCGAGTCGAAACTCATGAGGAGGAAATTCATAACGATCCAGCTCCTCTTCCGATACCTTCATCCATATCCAATCCCAGGCCTGGCTTCGACTACCTACTGACGTCGGACAAGGCTCCTCGGGACATCAATGGCGACATCGATGAATCGCAAATTCTCAATTACAAAAGGCGGGCAGCTGTCGCTGTTGCCTTCTTTGTATCAGAAGTTCCACGGACATATCGCGAGGCGATTGAATCGCCTGACGCTAAGAAGTGGCTCGAGGCCATTGAAGCCGAACTCGGAGCCATGGAGAGGCTGGTAGTTTGGAAGGTAGTCAAAACACCTAGGTTGACCAAACTCCTTGGCACTATCTGGGTTTTTCGCAAGAAATCAGATACTTTGGGAAAATTTCTTAAATTCAAAGCAAGATTGTGTGCACAAGGCAGTCGACAAGCAGCGGAGGATTGTCCATTCACCTATGCTCCAACGGGGCGTGCTGCAAGTCTTCGAGCAGCCTTGACCATTGGATTGTCAAAAGGATATGCGATACACCAGATGGACGCAAAGAATGCCTTTCTCAACGGCGATCTGGAGGAGACGGTTTATCTTCGACCGCCTGCAGGTCTGAAAGTTCCCGAAGGTCACTGTCTTCTTCTCAAAAAGGCAATATACGGCCTGAAACAGGCTCCTCGAGTTTGGTACTCGGCACTCAAGGCGTTTTTCACAACGATCTCGTTCAAGTCGTCGCCTGCGGATCCTTGCCTCTTTGTCTCACAAGTGGAAGGATGGGAGTGTTTCGTACACGTGTACGTGGACGACATGATCATCATCAGTCATGATGTTGAGCGATTCAAGAAGCTCATCTCGGCACGCTTCACTATGGAGGACCTCGGAGAAGCCAAGCATCTGCTGGGTATCACTCTCACTCGGCACGGATCGCACCAACTCTATCTGTCACAAGAAACATACACGCGGAAGATATTGAAAGACTACAACCTTCTCGAATGTCGTCCGGCGTCAACGCCAATGGTGGCCAACACTCGCCTCACTCGAGCAACTGACGAAGATCATCAATCTTTTCTGGAACTGAGTGTCAACTATCGAAAAATCATTGGTCTGTTGAACTACTTGTCGGTATCAACAAGGCCCGATATATCTTTCACATGTTCTCAACTCTCCCAGCATATCGAACGGCCAGGACTTACTCACTGGAAGGCAGTCACTCACCTTCTTCGCTATCTCTCAGGTTCGGCCGGCTACGGCATCATGCTCGACGGGTCAGGCGACATGACAGACTTTCAAGTATACACCGATGCCGATTTTGCCAATTGTCCTGACGATCGAAAATCATACTCTGGATACATAGCTCTTCTCGGCGGTAATATCATCTCATGGCGTTCAAAGAAGCAACCAACGGTTTCCACATCTACAACCGAGGCTGAATATCGGGCTCTGTATGAAGGGGTCCAGGAGTCGGTCTGGTTCGATCAGCTCTTCAAATCTCTCAATAATAACTTCACCGTAAAATATCAACTATACGTTGACAACCAAAGTGCAATCGCTTTGGCGACCAATCCTATCTTTCAACAACGCACCAAGCACATCGATATCATCTATCATTGGATCCGGGAAATCTACGATACCGGGCTATTCAAGATAAAATATATCTCCACTGCTCAAATGAAGGCCGATATGTGCACCAAAGCACTTGGACGGCAGAAGCATTCACAGGTCATTTCCGAACTGAAGATTCAGCGGTAATGAGCACGGGGGGGTATTGACATGTCACAGATACGGATACTCATTATCTGAATCACTGCGCACGACATGGGAAACGGCAGTTGCGCAATGATGATAGACAAGGTTGAAACCTAATGTAGACGGGACTATTTCAACTTCATTTCTTTCAGTTGTATTTCTCTTCTTCATTCAAGTTTCATACTTCTACTTGTCTCATTGCTCAACTCGCCTCCATTTCTCTCATCTCGTCGTGGACGTTCAGGTCTGCTTGTCTTTCTGCTCACTCGTGTCGGTGGTCACGTTCTGACACCTCGTCGGTTCTCATAAAGGTCTGCTTGTCTTTCTGCTCACTCGTGTCGGTGGTCACGTTCTGACACCTCGTCGGTTCTCATAAAGAACTCGCACCTTTCTCGTCCATTATCCCTGGGGATACCTGGATACCTGCCAAAATTTTGAGGAAAAGGGGAAATCTGCATCCGCTGGCAGGTATCCGCCAGTGGATAGCAGGTATCTGCAATGGATACCCCGTGAACATCTCTAGATACAAATGCTGGGTTAGGGTAATCCGTTTGCGCCATCTTTGTCCCACAGGACAGGAGGATTCTTCTTTTTTGCTTGACTAATGGGAGTGATGATGGGAGGCGGTGGTGGAGGCCAGTAGGTATTTGGTGCTGTGAATCACAAGATGAGCTGAGGGATTGAGGTGGATTTTGGTCTATTGGATAAAGGTGGCAATGATGGTTTGATCACCCAAAGGGTTAGGATGTTGGGGGGATAGGGGGATACCCTTGGGGTGTAGGGGGGTCAGCTGAAACTAAAAAGGTTCTATGGGATTTCATTGATTTAACTGCTTCAGCCCTGTATTCCTGGACCTGAAAGGTCCCACCTGCAAGGCAGAAGATAGAAGGAGCCCAGGGCTGCAAGAGGTTTTTTTTCCTGGAGATTGCAACCTGAGCGACCTCCTGGGATCTGGGAATTCTGTTTTGAATCCCTCTAATGTTTGTTGTTTGAGTTTTGTATGGTGCTTCAGAAGGCTTGCAGTTGAGTCAATTCTTGAAAGAGCCGATTTAGTTGTGATCATGATGAATTGATGACAAGTTTGAAGCGGCTTGAGCCTTGGAATGACAGAGATTCAGTTGTGAATGTGATGATGATGAGATTGCAGATTTTCAGCTGCTTGAGCCTTGTGCCTGAGTCCCTGACTTCCAAGTTCCAAGCCAAAGCCTTGCAACTTGCAAGTCTTCAGACCCCAGCCAAAGTCTTCCAAGCTCAGAGACCTCATTAACAAGACCTCAGCAAGCATCCTCTGGCAAGAGCCTGGCGTGAAGGGCATGCGAGGCTTATTGATGAAACATCAAAGCCTGCGTGACAGAATTTGCTTTTTGAGGCTGTTTTAGCATTTTTTGCCACTTGGTTTTTTTTCCAACTGAAAAGTATTGCACTTTTTGGTACACCAGATCTGCGCAAGATGCCAGCGCATCTTCCTGTCTCTTCAGAATTCCTTTGTGATTTTTCCTCTTTGTCTTTGAAACTGGATAAGATTTCTGATTTCCTTTTTTGTTGTATTTTCTTTAATTCAACAGTAATTAACCGTTGGAAAAGGAAGACATAGTCTCAAATTCGCAACAGTCAATCAATTTTTGTGATCGCAGACTCTGAGAAGCAAGATCATTGCATTTTCTTTTCTCTCCTTTAATCAGCAACAAATCTGATTGCATCAAGAAAGCCAAGAAGAAGAGTAGAAAGGTTACCCTCTGAAGTATGAGAGAGGGAAGCAAGAGTGATTGTACCAATCAAAGGTGGAAGTGGATTGGGAAAAAAGAGAGGGAATCCTAAAAAAAGAGACTCATCAAACGGTGGGGAATGTATATATATAACTTTCACTTGCCAGTCAATGCACGGATGGAATTCTGAATGTTTGATTATTTTAGTTGGGTATTCTTGGAGAAAGAAAAATGCTAAACATAAGTGGAGTTGGCAGTTGGAAGGGGAATATACACAAGTTTAAGCCATACAAACTTGGAAGTTGGGATAAACTAGTATGATGGAACTATTTATCAGGTGAAATTCAATATTTGCTACACCAAAAGGGTGAACTTCTGTCACACCAGACTGTGTTTTTAATTGATAAGTCCCTCTCCCTTTGCCCTTTGGTAGAGATCAGTGCTACACCTCAACCAGCAGTTAACAGTGCACCACGCCGCAGCAGGGACAAGGGACTTAGATAAGTTTGACCCCCCCCCCACTCCCGGCCGGGGAACACTCAATGGGCCCCTCACCCAGCCTGGCCCAAGCACAGGCCTGCTGGGACGGGTCAAACACAGGCTTTTCCTAAATGGGTTCAGGTCAAACCCGACCCAAACCCAAATGGGCTTGGGCTGCCCATTGGACACCCTGCCCATTTGCCATCGTGAGTTGGAGGAGATTGATCTGGCATGATGCACCTGAGGCTGAGGCCAAGTTGATTGGCATCTTCAAAGGATTGATCTTGATAAAATTATGGATGGTAGCTTGTCTGCTGGTGCTGGTTTTTTTTTATAGGAGGAATTGTATGTGGCCTCAGCCATAACTTGAGCTGTAAAATAAATAGATATTCAAGTTAAGGAAGGAAGATGGTTCACTACCATACATGAGCTGTACTTAAACAAGGCCTCTGGAGAGCCCCCCTAGGACCCAACAGCAGGGGCCCAGGGCCTGTCAGCAGACTCAATGACAGACATATAAAAAAACCTGTCTAAAACCCCCAACCTGTCCGCAAAGAATGGCCACATCATCAGATGATTTGTGAAGAAGTCAAGTATCTTTGAAACAATGTAAAGAAAACCTATCGAAGAGGACCAATCAATCAAAAAAAATCATATCAGTCATCTATAACATGCATAGTCGACTTGTTTGTGGAGCCTAATCAGGTTGCATGTCAATGTCCATATTTCTGATTCGTGTACTAGTACTAGATAGAAGAGAGATCAACCATCAGACTAAACAAGAGGTATATAAAAAGAAGACCCTGGAATCCTATATATGCATCTAAGAGTAATCAGACAAATAGCAGTCCGTGGTTTCACTTTCAGTTTTTTTTTTTGGTTCTTATGTAGTATGTAGATAATTATCAAGATAGACGAGCACATTGAAACATAATTGAAGAAGCAGACAGACAAGAAGACCAAATAAATAAGGCATGTTTGAGGTTAATGGAACAAAATAAGGGAAAAGAGAGAGAGTGTGGGTGGGTATGCACAAGTGAGAGGCCACGAAGTAGATCTAGCAAAAGATAGAGAGAGTGTGTGTAAAGATGATGATTGTGTGGTTTCTAATCACTGTCATCAGCCCCGGTGAGGTCGATGATCTTTTGCTTTTTCTTCTGACGAATCTGATGATCATTAGCAATGGTGGCTTCGCTCTTGATGCGCTTGAGGGAAGGTTTGCGATCGGTTTCGTGCGCGTCTTGGTCATCATCCTCGATGTTCTGGTTGATTTGATCAGCCTGACTGGGATCTCGCGCGATGGTTCCTTCGTCTTCTAAGATCGCCCTCGGTTTGTATTTGAAGACGAACTATCGGTCAAAGAAAGAGTCGGATGAAAAAAGAGAGAGTCAGTTTAAAAGACGCAAGAAGTAGGCTGATGATAAAAAAAAGAACAACGACGACGAGAAAAGAAAAAAAAAAAAAGGAGATGAATGACTTGAAGAAATGGCTTCGGATCCTGTTTTTTGATATGCCATTTCATAGGGCGAGGAGGGCCGTTGGAGGGGAAAGTATCGGACAAGCCGGCGGTATTCAAGAGCCTTGCCTTCTTAGAGCGTTCTGAGAACTTCATCTGATTCGTAGACGGGGCGGGTGCGGCTCGATTTTTGGCAGGTTTTCGTAGACGATGGACCAGATCGGCCCTGATGACATCGACTTGAATCGTCCCGAGAGACTTGATCACCTCCTCGTCCTCACAGATCGTGTCCGTCGGGTTCCTCGATCCCTGATTCGGAGTCTCATAGTCGTCCGGATCCACCAGGGTGATCGGTGCGAATTGGAACCTTCTGAAACTCAATTTGTCCCTGGAAGAGGTCTTAGTCATGTGTACTAATCTATGCGACTTCGTCTTAGACAGTTTCTGATATCCCGCAGAGATCCCGTCGAGGATCCTATGGATAACGTAGTCCTGCGGTTTGATTTTTGATGATCTTGATGATGAGTTGGCGGTGAGTGTTGAGTATGCTGTTGGTTTGATGTCGATGAGGATTTCAAAAGGACAGGCTTGTTGGGACTCGATGGTCACAGTCTCTTGGATAGCCCCAGTGGTCGGATCGGTGGTCGTCTCGTGTTTATACTCCTTGCACGGAATCTGAGCTGGTATCTGATCAGTTGATGATGATGATGATGTTGTTGTTGGTGGTGGTGGGAGGAGGTTGATGGTACAGGATGTGCCAGTGGCAGCATTGATTGGCATGTTGATGTCCGACTGTTGCTGCTGCTGGTCTTTCTGGGGTTGGTTGTAATGACTATTAAGGATATAGGATCACGATTCTTGGATCCTGAGAACAAGGATGAATGTCAACAGACGAGCTAAACGACAACAAAAGGCTTCTCAAAGAAAGGCAAGATGGATTTAAATGTAGGGAGATCCCTATGTTAATACTAATTGCGTAAAGAAAACAAAATATTGCAATGAGGAAAAAGGCTACAATATAGAAACATGGGTCTGTTTAAATATTTATGATTTCTGAGCACAAGACTTGCGTGGCGGAATCTAGAAACAAAAAGTACCTCTCAAAGGCATAATGAAAGTGACAATCGTCACGTACTCATCCCGTTGTCCGTTGTGCAGAGTGCCGATCCTCCCAGATCGTCACTGTCCAAGGAGACGATGATTTCCCTTGACTGAGACCAGCCTGCTCAGCAACGGCGGTTTTTGCGTGTTGGGTCAGGATCAGCTCTGTCTGGCAACTCACAAAAAATCACAAGTTATTGCCGCCCCTGGGACAGAGCTTTGTATAAAGGCCCTCGCCCTCTCCGGCATAGCTGTCACAATCAGTGCCCGTCAAGGATATTTCTCGATTTTGCTGTTATTATGCATCCTCAACTTCTGCAAAATCATTACTAAACTCGACGTTTACAAAACTAGTGAAAAAACCGCGGCGTGGGCGCCGCGGGTAACTTAAGAATATGGTTACTTTGAAAAATGATATAGAAGCACTTACAGTTAAGGTATTCAAAGTTGAAATGCATGAAATCATAGAGTGCATAAATCATATAATCATAAAACATTTTGGCTGGGAAAGCCAAAGCTTACATAATCAGATTACCAAGATCCCCTGCAAGCAAGGTTTTAAGATCTTATGATTTATGCGGTTATGATTTCATGCATTTCAACTTTGAATACCTTAAGTGCTGTTGCAATTCTTTCTTTGCATTTTATGAACACACTGATCAGAATGAAAGAAAGAGAAATACCTTACTGCTGATTCAAAGTATTGCCATGAGATTTGTGATACATGCATTTGATTTTGGCATGTGCATAATTCTGTATTGATAGATGGGATGCCGTGAGCATTAGTTGGACTGTGGATGAGCTGAAAAATTGAGTGCATACTCATGTGTTTGTCTGTCAACATTCTTCTTTTTTAATGACACTGCAGCGGAAAATTCTTGCTGATTACTGCTGTTGCCTGTTGACAATAGCCATTGATAGAATTGGGAATTCTCCCAAGGTAAAGTATTTTTTGTTGTTGTTCTGTAGTCAAAGATTTTTGTACACATAATGAAAACATCACAACATGCTACCAGTGCAGTGAGCTTATCTTGCAAAGAGATTTCTTCCCAAATGATAACTTGAGATTCAAACGTGTGATGCTACTTGCCATGAATTACCTATTGCTGGTCTGTTGGTACTGCCTGAGAATGTCAAGGTTGACAACATTGAGTGTTGTAGAGCAAGTCCAGATCGTGGTTGTGGAGGAGATAGTACGCCGTGTGTTGTCATCGACTGAGATGAATTTATCAGGGAGGATGTGTGTCATCTGCACCAGCGGTGGAAATGAGTAGATCAAATGATCTTGATTTGCTGATCATAAATGCAAGAAAATCTAACATCAATCGGTGTGGAACTACTCAACCAGGGAGATAGAGCTTGGAGGAGATATAGACAACTACACTAGTTCTAATGTAAGTTGAGACTACAGGTGCTGATGAGGCTGCCCTCCTGTACAATGCTAATGGGAAGAGTGTAACACTAAGAAAAAGAAGAAGAGAGGTGTGGCTGATTTCTACTTTATCTTAGACTACTATTACTGATGAGCTTGTGTATGTAGTACCTACTGAGGTGAGAGGAGGAGGAGTAATGAAGTGTGATGGGATAATACTGGCAAGGGTGTAACACTGGCAATGAGGAATGGCACTGGAAAAGGATGATAATCTGGCAAATGAGGATTTATAACTGGCAAGGGGGTTTATAACTGGCAAATATAACTGGCAATGATATCTGGTAAAGATATAAGGGTGATACTAGTATTCTGATTTCTAAGACTATGGTTAGAAGATAATTCAGGCAAGGTACATAGCATAAGGGGGGAAATACATGAGAGGGAAGAAAGAGTATATATGTGTACAACATGTACATACAACAGCAAAGCACCATGGCTGGGGAAATCCTGGCTATGGGTAACGTAAGTCTTAAACAGTAATGAGTGATGAGAAATAATGTAGCTAAGAGACAGATGTTCTGTGTATACAAGTGTTAATCAGGTATGGAAAGTCAAAGCAGTGTGAAAGGAAATATGTACATGATGTAATGTAGTTAAGGTTATCCTGATTGATGTATGTAGTTATGGTTATGCTGAATATGTAGTGTAGTATGTAGTAATGGTGATGTACCATGATGAATGAGTGATTCTACATAGAGACTGTAACTATATAATGTGTAATGTATATGTACTGTATGTATAAAGTAATGTACTGTTCTGTAACTATGAATATTGTTGAGTTTTTGGCGGAAAGGCCGGAGAAAAGATACTTTTTGACTCAAGTTGGAAGGGCTCAAGTGCTTCACAACAGAGACTGAAGAAGGGCTAAAGTGCTTCTTCAGGAAAGGCCCAGAAAAGAATAAAGAACCAATGGCTGTAATTTCTTAGCATCTAGATGATTTAAGTAGTCTAGATACAATGTGGTCAAGATGTGGGAGCAGCATTTTGAATAAGGGACAGCAACGATAGTTAATAACAAATATGTCAGAGAAAAAGAAAGAGAGATCGAGTGAATTTTCAACAAATATACTGAAGAGATGATAACTAAAGAACTATAAGAGATACTGAAAAGCTGTAAGAGGTGACTAGGGGTGAAATGATGTGTAGAATCTGAATATGAAATAATACTGGGAAGAATATATGTAGAAATGATGTGAAAAATGAGGATACATGGAAAGGTATGGACATACCACATCGGGTTTGCAGAATTGATGAGGTGGAACCTCCTTGTTGCCATGTTGATGCGGATGATCAGTAGCATTGGAGCGAGATGAGCATAGGGTACAGTGCGACATTGGTTATCCTGCCTGGTGGGCTGGGGCAATCTGACAGGGATTTCGAGAACTTGTGAGCAGACTGGTTGCGACACACCAGGAACGATGCCTAGGTGGACTTCAACAGGTATAAAACACTACAAGCAATACCCATTTTGCCCCAACAATAAATGGCAATTTGGGTGGGGGAAAATGGATCAATTTTCTGGCACTTTTTTCCAAAATGCCTCAGGAGTAGAAATTGGGCTAAACTGATCTATTTTAGCCCAGAGATAGATTTTCATCAAACATTCCAAAATGATTTTTTAGCTCATTTGAGGCATTTTTATTTTTTGGCTAAAATAGCTCATTTTAGCCTAATTTTTTACTCCTGAGGCATCTTGTAAAAAAGTGCCAGAAAATTGATAGATCTATTTTCCACCATCCAAATTGCCATTTTTCCTTGGGGCAAAATCGGTATTGTTTGTAGTGAAAGAAGCCCTTCAGTTCCATTTGAGTGGAATGTCTCCCCATTGCTCGAACTGATTTGACGGCACAAATCAGCATCGGTGACCTATTGTATTTACTGGCATGGCAGCCTAACAAACCTCAACTCTTGCCATTGCATGATGAATTTGGATGAGTGGCAACCTCTGATGATGAAGTCAATTGCAAAAAGCTGGCTTGAAAGGCTAAATAATAGTTTGGGCTAAATTAAATGGAATGACTGCATGAGTAGCAACCTCATCCTAGTCGCATGGCTCCTGGCAGCTTTGCTGCCAGCGGCCTTTGGCCAAAATTACATGTCACAAAGGGATGGGGGCCTTTGGCCCAAGCCTTCGGCAGACCAGCCCTGCTTCGCAGGGATAGTTGCGGCACCAGGAACCCAGGTTCACTGGGAAACATAGGTTTTAAATGGGCTATAGTACATGTGTACCTCACTCATAGTTTATAGCATCGGCTCCCTCACAACCCAATCTTTCTTGCATCCACACCAGAGCCTCCGTCCTTCATCTTCGCTGCACTCTATCTTGCTCCCCTTGAACCATGTTTTCTGTCATCCCCAGCAACCCCCAGCACTCGGCCCTCAAACACTCTACGTCCGTGACGGTTGAATTCGCGATGAAATCAAGCTTGTGATCTTTGTGTGTAAGATGCCCCAGTGCTAAAGTCAATCCTTTGCAACCCGCACCCTGTAGTCGTTCCATGAGTTGTTCGACCTGATCGTGTGGAAGACATTGAACGACAGATATGCCAGGGAAGTGTGTTGGTTGTGCTTTAGCGGCTTTTGGACATTTGTCTAGCACTTGACCCAATATTCCAACCCCCCATTCCATGAACCACCACATCGCATCAGGTGAGCTCCTCAAAGCAAGCAGGCGGCAAGTTTTGCCGACTTGAGAACGTGGTTGATGCCTTTTAAGGCCGTAACCACAGACGAGGTCAAGTTTGCCAGGTGACGTGCAGCCTCTTTGCTTGACATGTTCAGCAGTTGCTGTGAGGTGGTGAACCCTGGTACACGCATCATCGCAGCTGCCGCGGGCTGATTGTTGATGATTTGAATAATCTCCTCTGCATTCAGTAACGGGTCTTCGACATCAGCGAGAGATGCTGTGGCAACCACTGTTGACTGAGTGTCGCAAGCTTTGGTCGTTAATTGTCTCTTCTTTGGGGCGTTTTTGATCCCTCCACTTGTGTTTGTCTGTTCATCAACTGATGTGAATGGGCTTTCCTGCCGGATTGAGGAGCAATCTGGAACACATTCTGAGGCATTCGATGGATCCAGCATAGTACCCGGGTAAGTTGTAGGTTTGATTGTGTAGTGCATTGGATTCTCAACAACAAGCAGTTTGTACTCGTTTGAGAGGTAGTACATGTGCTTGCAAGCTGAACCTTACAGAATGAAGTACTTGCAAGAACAGCTTGTGACCCGACCGAGTTGCCCATCTTTGGGCTCCTCATGGCAAACTAGGTAGAATGAGTTGGCGGGATTTGTGAATGAGCTCACACAATACTAGAAATATTGTACTGGGTCAGTACGATCACAAAAAAGAGAAACCAAGTGAAATGAAAAATACTCACATGTGCAGGGAACTTTGAAATGGTGATACCGAGTAGTGTCATGATATCAGCGGTGTATCCGTCTGCCTTGGCCTTCACATGAGATTGAAATCGGTTGGTTCGCTGGGCTATGATTCCCTCTGATACTTGGGATTGGGTCATGAGGTATGAGGTGTGTACTTCGTCCGTCAAAATTTGCACAACTTCATCAATGCGCCACCGCTCTTTTGTATCGACAAACTGTTCTTTCAAAATTTGATGCCAAGCTTCGGTGTAATTGTTCGTGTGTATTCCTTGGTGAGGTGTCTAAGAGAAGCTCTGGAATTAGTTCCATTGAAAATTTAGTTGTTTAAGATCTATCCAACTACTTACCTTCCAGTAGGTAACAGCCCAATGAGTTATGTTATTGTGCCACTGTGTTTGCACATAGTCGACAAAGAGAAAATTGACCGGGGCCCATTTTTCATAAAATGACTGGAGTTGGAGTTCTGGATTCTGACTGTACACTATCTCTTGAAATTCTTCAATTGCCTTGCCTGACCGTTTTTGTAAGAAGAATGTCGCCCGGTTCTTGAATGCTTTCATTACATGAAACAAGCACCAATATACCTTTTGTCAGCCTCTATGCTACTAACCTGTAAGGGTTGTGCTCTGAGTGTTAACAAGAAGAGTAATTGGGAAGGTTTATTCGTGGTTAAATCCCTCAACCTGTAAAAGAAACAGGGAGGAGTCAGTGAGGAATGGTACTTCTACTGCTGACTCATCCAATTATTCAATTGGGCATCCAGATCAATCCTGTTTCGTGGATTAATAGGCTTCCAATGTGAGGAATTCTTCTACTCACTTGGGATCAAGTCTTTTAACAACAATCTAGATGAATAAGTGTATGTACACTTAAGGACCAGAATTGTTTAACCAGGGGGATAATTCTTTATGCAATAGAGATAAGTAGAAATGCCTTGAATCTGAGCAAAGTAAATCTATTTAGGTCTAAGGTAGCTGAGTTGTAATGTTATTGGTGGTTTGAAGCACTAATAATCACGGTACAAGTGTTGGTTTGATGCTACTAGAATTTCCTGGGGGGAAAAGGTAGGAATCTGAGCTCCTTAAATATTCTACAGGGGGCTCAGGGGAAGAGGAGAGGCCCTCAGGGCACTAGGGAGCTTCTTAGCAGCTCTACAATTTCGTGTAAGGATGGGAGCTGCAGCTGTGCAGTGCTATGCATGGGTGGAAGGTCCTAGGACATGAGATCATACATGCATAATTGAGTTTTGTGGCCTATTTCTCACGTAATTGAAAAGGCTACAGTTACTGTGCAGGGGCTGTGCATTTGTAGAGTTGGTTGCATACGTGTAACTCTGCTTATGCAAGCTTGTGATCATGGGAAACTGCATGTGCTGCATGCATAATTCAGTCTTGCATGTAGAATCTGGGCTCCTTTCCCATGTAGGCTACTTTGAATTATGCAAGCTTTGAATTAGAGCACAAAAGGGTCCTGATGACGCCATCCAAGAGGGTTATGATGCAATCTGATGCCCTGATGATGTGATCAAGGATGGGTAAGCTTCAGATAAATCTATATAGCTTATTCCTCATCCATTTCATGCTTCTACTAGCTGATTCTTTATACATATGTAATTATTTATGGCTTATAAAATATGTACATAATGTATAAGAATAAATAATGTTTTAATACTTTATTCTAATGATATTTCTGTGAAATCCTAGTGATATTATATGTACAATACTCGAGGGGATTTCACAGTTGGTTATAGAATTATTAAATATAAATTATGAATTAAGATTAAATGTAAATACATATTTATTTATTTATTATTCTAACAACAATTTATAATATTTTCCAGTATTCAATTATTTATTATTATTGCAGTTACTAGGTACATTTCACGTACTGTGAAATGTGCTCTGTGGCTGACACTTCCTCCCCCTAAAAAAGGAAATGATCCTCAAATCATTTTCTCTTGTCTACTCTGTATTGTCTGAGGAGTCTATCTGAGTCAGGTATCTTGTCTACAGGTAGCCATTCATCTTCTTTACTACCACTATATCTAACCAGATATTGTTTAATGTCAGTATTATTTTGTCTAATTTTCCTGTGTTGTAAAATTTTCTTAATTTTTACTATTTCTTCTTCTAGTGGAGGAATTAATACTCTCACATTGTCTTTCCTTAGTGGAAATTTTTCATTATCATTTATTACATAAGGTTTAATTAAACTAACAGGGAAAGTAGGGTGTTTCTTATCAAATTCACCTGTAAGAATAACTTCTACAGCATTTTTTCCGTGCAATTGTTTAATTGTAAAAGGTCCTACGTAAGAATCACGTAATTTCTTTGGTCCAGATAAGTTGGTAAAATTGAGTGTGGATACTAATACTTGGTCACCAATTTGGAATTTGTGGGCTTTGTGAGTTTTATCCCATCTAGATTTATTATAGTCTACAGCTTGTTTAACACATTCAGAGGCATATTTCTCTGCTTTAGTCATCATGAAATGGAAATCTGTGGCACTGGGATGAATGTGTACAGCTTTATTCAATAGTACATCTCTTGGGAACCAGGGTGTCCATCCTCTTTCCAGTTCAAATGGAGTTTTATTAGTGGTACTATGTTTGCTAGAATTGTATGCAAACTCTAGAGCAGGAAGAAGGGAAACCCAGTCATGAGTGTAACTGTCTTTGTCTTTAAAGTGTAATCCAAAAGCACAGTATCTCCTGATCATATCTTCTAGAGTTTGTATCATTCTTTCAGCTAGACCATCAGTTTGTGGGTGATAAGCCGTGGAAAATTTTAATTGTGTCCCACACAAGTCATATAAATTTCTCCAGAATTCTGATGTAAATTTAGGGTCTCTGTCTGTAATAATGTATCTAGGACAACCTACATCATAAATGATAGAGTTCCAGAATAGTAAGGCTGTGTCCATGGCCGTGTCTTCTTTATGACAAGGGAGAAATCTTGCTCTCTTAGAAAATCTATCTACTACTACAAGTACAGCATTGAAGTTATTGGGTCCTCCAGGTGGTAATCCAGTAACAAAGTCCATATTAATTACACACCATCTTTCTTTGGGTTCTTCAATTTCTTGTATTAGTCCATATCTTTTTCCCGTTGCCTTGTTAGCTTTTTGGCATCTTTCACATGATTCACAATATTTCTTAGTGTCATTTTGAAAATTGGGCCACCATGCCACATTCTTAATTCTTTCTATGGTCCTGTCATAAGAGAAGTGTGCAGATGTAATATTATCATGACATTCTTTCAGGAATAAGTTAATGTGTTCAGGTGAGCATATGGTAACAACACTGGTATGTTTGGTTCTATGGTAAATTAATCCATCATATAACGCAAATCTATCTTCTTTAAATGAAGTTAGCCAGGGTTCCTCTAATGAGTTAATTAAATCATTTGGTCTGAATTTACTTTGAAGAATTTCTACTATAGTGGATAAGTTTTTATTAGAAGCATAACTTTTTCTAACTTCATCACAGAATTCTTCTTCCATTTCTGTTATATGTAATCCATTGACACAAATGACATCTTCATTATCATCAAATCCATAGTTGTCTACAGAATTTTCCATTGGGAATAGAGACATAATTTTGGCGGCAATTTCCCCATCCCAAGCTGGGTTCAACTCATTATTTTCAAGGGACCATCTACTCAGTCCATCAGCATTTTTATGAATATTTCCAGCTCTGTGGGAAATTGTCATACTATTTCTCCATTCTTGTATGGCTATTTGCCAACGTAACATGTGTCTGTTGGGTGTTTTCATGTTCAGAAGACTTTTCAGAGCATTACAATCTGTAATAACTTCAAATGTACAACCATCTAAGTAGTAATATAATTTATCTAAAGCCCAGACAAGACAAAGGCATTCCAGTTGGCTAGCTCCATATTTTTTCTCACTGTCTTTAAGGGTTCTGGATATATAACATATTACTCCTTCTTTGGGGATTCCATCTGGTTCTTGTATTTGGTGTAATGCTGCTCCTAGTCCTTCCATACTAGCATCTACATACAATTTGAAACTTCTTGATGGGTCAGGCATAAAAAGAATTGGTGCGGAGGTAAGTAAGTCTCTCAGTTTCTGATATGCTTCCACTCTTTCAGTTGTCATTTCAAATGCAGTATTGGGACTGGTAATTTTATAAAGACTTCCACTAACTTTGGCAAAATCTTTAATATGTTGTCTGTAGTATCCTGCAAAGCCAAGAAAGGATTGTAGTTCTTTCACGTTACTAGGCATAGGTTTGAGTAACACAGCTGCTACTTTATTTTTATCAATAGCTATACTAAGTCCTGAAACTATATGTCCTAAGGCTTTCAGTTCTGCAAATCCAAACTGGCATTTGTTCATGGATATTTTCATATTCATATTAATGACTCTGTCTAGTACAATGGCTAATTTTTCTAAATGTTCATTCCAGTCTTTGCTGAAAATTATAATATCATCAATGTAACTTATAAGCCATCCTTCTCTAAGTTCTTTATGAAATTCAACATCCATCATCCTTTGGAAGTGAGAAGGTGCATTTTTAATCCCAAAAGGCATTCTCTGATATTCATAAATTCCCATGTGTAATATTATTCTCATCAAGTGCCTACTGTCTTTGTGGATTACATTCTGATGAAAACCTTTGAGTACATCCATGCATGTGATATATTTAGCATCTTGTAATTGGGTAATGGCTTCTGCAATT